TTTATGAGTCGATTGTAAGTGGTTTTGGGGTTACTGGACATTCAAGGGCTATGATGTCTAATCGAATTTCTTATTGGTTAAATTTAAAAGGTAATTTATAATAACTAAGCTACATTATATTTACGTAAATTACATATCGGGTAGGCGCACCAACCAGCCTTGCACTGTGACCCTAAGGATCCTATTGTACCCCGATAGATAACGTTCTCAATTTCACCATGAAGTCCAATGCTCTTAACGAACCTTATACGAACCATTAATTCCTTGCTCGGTAAAAAATAATTCAGATCCTTTGAGGAGATAAAACTGCGACCCAAAAATCGAGAATCTGACACGATTAGCAGCAGTGTAGTGGCATAATCGTCTCCTCGTCCTCCGAACATAGTCGGCATTCAACATAGGCTAGGCCCAATAAGTTGAGGTATGTCTTTAATCGGCAGTGCCCAGTAAAGACACCCATTAGAACTTTAATGCTGCTATGAGCAAGTCTTAAAATTAGTAGAGGTGATACAGCTTATCAAAAAACCTACTAGAGTTTCATCTACATTAATATATCTGATAATAATCACGAATGGACTGTAGTTATAGTGATCACAACATGGTATACTGAAATGTTACGTGTAAATCTCCTTTGAACCTGTTTTAAAAACATACCGTGCGTTGGCATCTATTAACATAGATTCTTTTTTGCTTGATTTGTATGACCTTCCCCTACATTTTATTTTTCGTATACCTAACATTGATGATAAGGTTTCTTTCTTTACACATTCCATTTTAAATTTGCTAAATGTACATGCTCCTTTAATAATCAGAAAATTTACTAAGCCCCATATTTTGTTATATATTGAAAAATTAAATGTTTTATATTTAATATTTACATATTAAATATTTTGTACAAAAATCATGTCTTCAAAGCAAAAAAGCCAAATATGGCAGCATATGAACGACAATAATGTGAAATGCTTAAAGTGCGGCCAACAGTTGTCGGTGAAAAATAAATCAACATGTTCGTTGGAGGCAAAAATAAAAGTATATTTATATATTTTTATTTAATATTTATTTTACACAGAATACAGAAATTTAAATTTATTCAATTACAGTCATGTCATCTTCTTCTGGAACATCGTCATAAATAAAATTCTGAATTATATTCTGATTTTCTTCCAAATCCATTTCCTGTTGAATCATTGGTCCGAATCTCTCATGTCTTGCGATATAGCTATCGTTAAATGAATACTTCTTGTCTAAGTAGCCTGTTCGTAGTGCATTGGAAACATCATTATCAGTTATTTTGTCCCATGAATTTTTTACCCAATTCACAACTTCTTGTAAGCCTGGTTTTACAAAATTACCTCGATGATTTCTCACCATTCTGTTTTCAATATATTCATTGATTTCCATCCGCAAATGATCCTTGAATGGCTTGTTTATTGCAATGTCAAGTGTCTGGAGGTAACCAGTCATTCCTGCCGGAATCATTATTTGATCAATCTTCCTCTCAGCAAGAAAGTTTTTCATGTCTTTAGCGCGATAAGTACTGGCTGAATCCCAAACTAGTAAACCTCCATTCTGACCCCTCAACAGTGGTGGCAGCATAAAATCAACCCACTTTCTTATAACTGCTTGGGTGCAGCAGGCTTTTTCACTTTCAATGACATAAATTCCTGAAACACGTTGAATCTGGTCTTTTTTAGCTTTAGTGATATAAAATGGCGATACTTTCTTGCCATATAGACGAATCGCCAAAATACAAGTAACACGTGCACTATCGTAACCGGTAGAAGGAACGTAAATTGACGAAGAAGCCTTGTGGTGAACTGTCGTTTCAGCTCCTTGGCCTAGGAATACCGCGGTCTCATCCATAGCAATCATGTTGGAGAGTTGGTATTTCGAAAAATTGATGCCATCAACAAAAAGCTTAAACGCAAGTGCACGCTTAACAACTTCATTGTCTTCCAGCTTAAACAAAGTTGTTGATCTCCTTAGAGACAGTTCATATCGTTTAAGGAAGTTGTCCAACCAGTGTGATGATGCTTTAAATTCTTCTGTGGATATATCAAATTCAATTGCTGTTTCAAGGGCAAATTTTTGAATATCAGCCCTGCGCACAACCAAAGCCATTGCTCTCCTGCCTGCAATCCATTCCCAGATGCAATCTTCCAACTCAGAAAATAACGACTGCCGACTTGATCTAATTCTGCGTTTTTTCTCATTTCCTTGGTCTACCAGTTGACACAGGTAATCGTAGTCTGCAAGCCATTTACGAACCATACGGAGATCCAGCATGTTCTCTTTAGAGAATGCTACAAGATTTACACCCCTGGAGTCTTCCACGATTCCCTTTTTGTACTCGACGGAATAGCTCTTTCGTTTTGTACTCATTCTAACTGGGGTTAAAAACTATTCACTTTATTTTTAAATAACATTACGTATGAGGAAATAATCAGACTTACAAAACTGAAATTATTTACGTTGAACGCCGTATACCCTCTGTTCCGTAGTGTGAACAGCGTGGACCTTCGATGGTGCGTACAAGTGCATTGTGCCTCTCTGTCAGAGTTTTTACTTATATACCGCTCGGGGAAATCCCTTATTTTGTACTTTAAAGCACATTCAATATGTCGTGTGTTTTAGAAGAAAAATTGTACAATTGGTTTCTTAAAGAAAGAGAAAAGAATTCACGAAAGGAAAGCTAAACATATTATTACTTATGCTCAACAGTATTTTTTAACGAATTCTTTTTGTCACATTACTTTAACTAGGGCTTATTTTCGGAGGATGTCTTATTTTACAAAAAGTTCCGAAAATCACGATAGGGCTTATTAGGCTTATTAGGGCTTATTTTCGGAGGATGTCTTATTTTCGGAAAAAGGCGGTAGCTCAAGGCAGTTGTGGAATGATCTTGGAAGGGTGGGTATTTACAGCCAGTCTACAACGGGGCTTCCGCCGGGCTTAGATAATCCAGATGAAATAAACGCATTTTTTCTTGGTCTAAGCTCCCGAGTCGATTCAACCGATGGTCCAGATTTAGCTGCCTTTGAAATTAAAGATCAAATTGAATTTCGCTTTAGAAATGTGGAAATTAATGAAATAGGAATAATATTACGTTCAATAACATCGAAGTCTACCGGTATAGATGATATTAGTATAGACACAATAAATCTTTGCGGCTGTCATATTTTACAGTTTATTACTCATATCAATAGCGCTATATTGACCGCGTGCAGAGTTCTGTTGAGTCGGATCCTAAACGGTTTTGGTCTTATATAAAACGACGCAGGGGGGCTAGCGGTGTGCCCACCCGTGTTGAGTTCAATGGCGTGACCACCACTGATGGGGATGGAATCTGCTCTTTATTCGCCGATTATTTTGCATCCGTATGTACTCCGCCTGGGCCTACGGTGAGTGTACCTCGCATCTCCGACCATAGTACTAACACGGGGGTTGTCATCGGTGCCCTTACCGGGGCTGAGGTTGAGCTCCAGCTTAGGGGGATGGCACCCAGCAAGAGTCCTGGATCAGATAGTATTTCTTCAGTCCTTATTATTAACTGTGCTGCTGCTCTTTCCATTCCTCTTATGAACATTTTTAATTTGTCCATCACTACTGGAGTCTTTCCCTTGGCGTGGAAACACGCGAATATTGTACCAGTCTACAAATCTGGTAACCGACACCTGTCCAAGAACCACCGTCCAATTTATATCTTGCCCTTATTTGCAAAGGTTGTTAAAAAGTTGATGTACTCGAGACCATTTTTTCAGTTGAAAAATACTATTAATGTCAATCAACACGGTTTTTATCCTGGCCGCTCGGTCGAGACGAACATGCTAGAGTATGTTGACTTTCTATATTCTTCTATGGACAACAACGTCCGAGTAGACGAGGTATACACGGACTTTAGCAAAGCATTTGACAAGGTAGATCATAACTTGTTATGCAGTAAGTTGTATCGCGCTGGTGTTACCGGGTATTTGCTGGACTGGTTTACCTCTTACGTCTCGGGACGGACTCTTGTCGTGCGGTTTGGTGGATTTTGTTCACGTGCCTTGTCAATCTCTTCTGGTGTACCTCAGGGCAGCCATCTGGGGACTCTGTTGTTTCTTCTTTAGATTAACGACATCTTTGGCTCCTCTTCCCATTGCCGCTGTCTCATGTATGCTGACGACCTTCAATTGTTTCTCCCTATTTATATTATAAATCATTGCGCCAAATTGCAGAGTAACTTTTGACGATCTATGCAAGTTCTGTTCTGATAAAATAAATATCTCTAAATGTGTAACTATAACGTTTACTAAAAAACAGAATCATATCTCTTATAACTATACACTTGGCAATAACGTCCTAAATAGGATCATCTGTTCAATATCTTGGCATCATCCTTGATCAAAAGCTATCTTTTGGTCTTCATATTGATGGAGTTGTGAACAATGCATATAGGATGCTCGATTTTGTAATGCGTTCTTGTGAGGATTTTACAAATCCGTATGCGATCATCACTATTTATAATGCTTTTATCAATAGCATCTTGAACTTTGGTAGTTGTATCTGGAATCCCCAGTATTCTTGCTATATCGAAAGACTTGAGAGGATTCAGATGAAATTCTTAAAGTTTCTTTCTTATAAATCGCATCATGTTTACGAAGACTATAACACTGCATGTGGAAAGTATCGTTTACTCACTCTCCGTCAGCGGAGACTACTTGCGGATGCCATGTTCTTGCATAGATTACCCAACGGACTCTGCGATTCTCCTTACCTTCTGTCTTGTGTCAATTTACATGTTCTTCCCCGTCAACTCCGTTACGATTTCCTTTTCTATGCACCTACACCGCGCACAAACGCTTATAGAAATTCTCCTATCATTAGAATGGAGAGAGCAGTAGACCGTCTCGGCATTGACTTATTTGTGTTCAGTAATCAGAGGTATAAGTCTCTCGTTCGAAATATTATCATAAATGCGGACGAGCGGTTTCAGTTTTATTTTTATTTTAGTTTTTTATAATTCCCTGTTTCGCATACTGTTTAGCTGCTTTCTTTTCCTTTTCCTTAATTTCTTTTTCTTCGATGTAGATGCTGATTAATTTTGTATATGGTATATTGCATATATCGTGTTATATATATTATATTGTATGTATTAACTATGTGGAGCAATGTCTTTGGGTATGTCCCGTTTTTGATCGCTTGGAAGGTAAATAAATAAATATAGTTAATGTTTGCCTAGAAGAGGGTGTTTTTCCTTCGCAATGGAAGACAGCAATCGTTATTCTGCCACCTAAAGTAAGCAATCCCACTACCTATCGGGACCTTAGACCAATAAGCATATTACCGGTATTATCAAAGGTGCTGGAGACGGTTATATACAAATAATTGTTTGCGTTTTTGGAGGGAATTGATTTCTTACCATGTTGTCAGTCGGGCTTTAGAGAAGGACATAGCTGCTGCACAGCTTTAATGAAGGTGACTGCTACGGATAGGGGTAAAGTTACAATACTCGTGCTACTTGATTTCAGTAAAGCCTTCGATACGGTTAGTCACGATACTTTGCTTAATATTCTGTCTAGGATGGGGTTTAGTGCGGTGGCTTTGAGTCTTTTAGGCGGTACCTTTGTGACAGGTTTCAGATAGTTAAGGTGAAGCAAAACTTTTCTGAACGTCGCGTCGTTTGGAATCTTCTGGATTTATCACTGGTATAAATCAAGAATTGAGCGAATTCAATCTAAATTCTTCAAGTGCCTTTGTCTTAAATTTTCCGTTCATTGTATTGGTTACGAATCAACTTGCACTTCTTTTTGTATGTTAACTGGCAGCCAGCGCCGCTTTTGTGGGGATATGTTATATTTTTATAAACTTTTGACTAACAAATGTGATTCTCCAATGCTTGTCGGTTCTATAGTTCCTCCGAGATTGCTTCGCTTTGACTTTCTATTTATAACACCCACTCATAGAACCAATGCCTGTTAAAAACTCTCCTCCAATGTGTTGGTGGCTCTTCCTTAATACTTTCGATCGGGTGCGATCTGTGGAGTCCAAAATAGAAAAAACTCTGAAGGACGCCAACGTGTCTTCAACTGCTAATTTCTCATAAATGTTTTGTATGATCCTTATACTAATAATGATCTAATAAAGGGACAATTCCACACTCATTTCTTATGTTAATTAGATTTAAAGAAAATGCTTACTATTTGATCACGTTTTCAAAAATTTGGAAACAACGCCTAACTAAATGAACGAAAATAAAATCGACCTATAATAATATTTATTTAAAAATATATAAATTATTATAAAAAAATATCATAACTAAAGAATAATATTGTATGCACAAACTGGAGAGCCTCAAACTGTAGTCTCCATATTTCCTAAACAATCTTTGCAGCACGCCATTATGTGCTCCATGCACAACCATCGCATCGTTTACAAATTTTGCAAAAATAACTTCTTTTGCAATATTTACAGTTTCTTCTTTTCCTTGGTTGTGGCTCTGGAATAATCTCTAAAGAAGTATATCAAAAGCTCCCGCAAATAACCCTTACTTACTTATTTGATGCTGATACGGAACTTATTATACTCCTTTTAATGTAGGTCCGAGTTGTGCTTATGATAGCAACTGGATTGGAGGAATTGAAGTTCTTAATTTAGCCGTAACCGCTGTACAAGAAGGACATTGTGAGGCCGCAATCATTGGATCAGCTAATTTAGCATTAAACGCAGAAATTTCATTTTTGTACAACGATATGGGGTTACTTTCTCAAGATGGATCAACGAAAGCTTTTGATAAAGACGGTAATTTTGTTTCACTTTATTATTAACCATTAATTAATGTTATTGTTAAATAACAATTTAATTCTTGTTAAGCTTCCGGTTATGCTAGAGCCGATGGAGTTGTTGTAATGCTAATTCAAAGAGCTTCAGATGCTAAAAGAGTTTACGCCAGCGTGCTTCATTCCGCAACGATTTTTAATGGAGCCCGAGATGGTCCAATTTTTGATCAAAATTTAGAAGGAATGACAAATTTTGTTGACGAATTTTACGAAAAATGCAAAATTAACCCTGCGGACGTTGAATACGTCGAAACGTACGGTTGCGGTGTGAAAAGAACGGACGAAATCGAATTAAACGCTTTGGAATCGGTTTATTGCAAAAACCGAAAATCTCCCCTTTTAATTGGGTCAATAAAACCTCAAACCGGGCACAGCGAAGCAAGCGATAATTTATTTTCGATCGCCAAAGTTTTGGTTGCAATGGAAAATAAAAAAATCCCCGCAATGTTGCAATTTAAAAATCCAAATCCGAATATTCCCGGATTATTAAACGGCAATTTAGAGGTTGTTACAGAAAATAGAGATTGGAAAGGCGAATTGGCCGCGGTTCATGGAATCGGATTGTGTTCTTCTTACGCGCATGTTTTATTAAAAGGAAATCCGATTTTAAAAACGCCAATTAATAACGATTTGCCGAAATTAGTGGTGGCATCGACTCGAACGGAAAACGGAATCCAAGAAATTTTAAAAACGGTAATTTAATACTTTCATTTAATTAATTTTAATTAAATTATTTTTTTCGATTAATTCCAGTTGCAAGAAGAAAAAGATATCGATGACGAATACATCGGGTTAACGCATAATTTCTTTTCAAAAACCGTTTCAGGGCATTTATATAGAGGATACACAATTTTGGATGAAAGCGAAAACCCAAAACATGAATTCGAAGTAAGTTTTTTTTAATTTAAAGTTAATTAATCACACAAATCTACAAGATTTGTTGTCGATCAGCTGAGAGTCATTTCAGAAGTAATTTTTTACGAAGAATCATAATCCAAGCTTCGAATTAGATCATCACATCAGCATTTTGAGATATTCAAAAGTAGCCTTAGACTTTTGAAGTTATGTATGAGACACACAATATTATTTTGCTGTATTCTATCCATTACATCATTCAGGACTATCCTTGTCCTTCAAATTGCGTGTATATTAAATTCTTGGAATGGCATCATGTCTTATTTAAATTTCTGATGGCAATAATATATTTTCCGAGCACTTTATTGACATCAACTGATTTAGTTTTTGGTCGATTAATTTTTTGGCCTTATAAGGTGATGATTTTAAAACTTTTTGCGCCTTAGTACAATACACAGTAGCTGCAAAAACGCCACAAGATTCAGCATTTCTATAAATAAAAACTATTTTTGAGGTTAAGGCAGGGCCGGATCACACCTTTTATGGGCCCGAGGCGCTCTCTATTTTTGAGCCCCAAAAAAGTCTAATATTACCATTTAAGTATTATGTCTAATAATAATAATAATGTTTATTGCCTCTAAAACAAGTATTTCCATAAATATATACATTCATAACAAATATAGACATCAAGGCAAACTGATCAATTTATCGCAATAAGCGATATCTTACAAGAGACCCAATGGTAACAGTGTATATGTAATTTTAAATAAATAATTATGGCTACCAAAAAAGTAATACTAAATGATGTGCTAATACGACTGAGCGAATGAGCATATTTGAGTTATGTGACGAATCGACAGTCAGTTACGACAAGGAGGGAAATAGACATAAAAAAAGTGCAGTAAAAGATAGATGAAAGGCAGACTAGAGAAGAAAACAAACACGTATAGGTCAAGAAGAAGATAGTTGAAGAGATAGCAGATGGCGCCTCAAGGCATATTTAAAACTTATTAAACTAGCTGCATTGCGAACAACGGCAGGCAAATCGTTCCACAACGCAATCGACTGCATTGTAAAAGATCTGTGGTAGATTTCAGTACTATGGACTGGAAACATGAGTCCGACAGTGTGACTTTAAATGTGATGCTAAAAAAGTGAAAGGCATCGGACAAATAAGCAGGAGTGCGTGTACAACATAACTCCTCATCTGCAGGTTGTTACGATATGGAGTAATCTGCTGCAACTTTCCTAAATCAAAAATGTACCGTATACAATTATTGTTCTGAAGTCTTTCCAATTTACCCCGAAGGGCTGCGGACAAATCGGGATACGCAGCATCGGCATAATCAATGTGTGGGAAAATGAGAGAATAACAAAGATTATGACGTACAACAGGAGGAAGGTAGCAGCGAAATTTTTTCAAAGTATGAAAACAGAAGTAAACCCTCTTACAGACTCCCTGAACTTGTGGCAGCTAACTATCGCCGAATTCATTACCACACCAAGATTTTTGACCGTATTAGAAAACGGAATAACGGTGTCGCCAAGCCTCAGTTGAAGGGTAGTTAAGGAATTACCTGGATTCAAGTTACGTTTAGACCAGTCAAGCACGCTAGAGAGATCGTTGTTAAGATGCAACAACGCATCTGGGATTTTGTTAACAGTTGACGAAATATAAAGTTGAAAGTCATCTGCATACAAATGATAGTTACACGAGATACCATCCCTAATACTATTTATGAAAATTTATGAAAATTGAGAAGAGCAAAGGACTCAGCACACTGCCCTGGGGAACTTCACATTTGATGTCAACAGGAGAAGAGAGTACAGATTCCACGCGGATACATAAAGACCGATAGGAAAGGTAGGACTGGAACAAGACGAGGTAAAACCAATAGCAGAAAGCCTAGTTAACAGGAGGGCATGGTCCACAGAATCAAAGGCCTTATAAAGGCAATGAGTTATAGGTGACCAGTTATTAGGTCTATTTTTTTATTCCAAATAGATTCACAGGTGATGCTTCCATATTTTTTTACAAAATGAGCTTACTGAAGCATTTGGTGAATTACCCTGCAAATGCTTGCAAACCTTGATGCACGATGGAGCACCAGCACATTATCCACGTGCTACTCGAGTATACTTAGATGACAGATTTGATAATAATTGGATTGGCCATGGTCTTGTTACGTGGCTACCTAGTTTACCATTTTTAAATCCGTTAGATTTTTGGTTTTGATGACATTCAAAATAAATAGTTTATTCTGAAGAAGTTTAAAATGTGCAGGATTTGAAAAATACAATTAGTAACCCATTGAAAGTAGTAAAACAAATGTTAATCAATTACTACATCTAAATCGTTACAATTAATGGTGTTAACAATAGGTCAACTTATGAAACTAAAACTTTGAATATCTCGAAAATGGACCATTTTCGGACCTATCTTTATTAGACTCTATTTGTCTATTTTTGACCAGAGAATACGCTGGTGATGTATTGTACAATCGTTGCGGGACAGCCTGTATAAACAGTATAGGATTGTGAAAGTATTTTATCCGAAAAATTTCCGGGGTGGAGCCAGGTTTCCATGAGGCAAATATTATCGTAACATTTTACGAGTTGTTAAAAACGATCGGCAACCTGCAGCGAATGTTTCGCACATTCTGGTAATAAAAAGATAAGCAATACATTGGGCTGCAGTCATTACCAAGTTGTACTTATATACAACTAACAGAGTGTTAGTTCTAATTTTAGTTCAATTAACACCGGCCGTGAAAGCCTTCGTACTTATATTATTAACCTTTATCAACAAATCAAGGATTTGGATAACTCACGAATTAGAGAACGCAAGCTGTTGAGCAGTTTGGCCTTTCTACGAAGATGCAGAGAGAAGAAAGTAACGGCAACCTTCTTGAAGGTAAAGCACCACATCGACTCCGCTGCAGCACGTAGAATCTTGATTAGGATAGAACAAGCACTACTACAAGAAAGAATCCACAAGACCATCAATGATCTACAGAAAATAAGTGAGAGGTTACTACGACTCCATCTCTCACTTTCCAATTTTTTGTCCGGAGAAGACTGGGATAAAGTGGACAACAATGGAGAAGGCTCGTGAAAAGGATCGTGAATTCCAGAAGACACGGGACACGCACATCAAGAAGTTTGAATCCCTGGAACGCCGGATACAAAAGAAGAAAAGTAATAGTTTACCAGTAGAAACAATCATCATCAACAGATCGAGTGTCCCACTAATAAAAGACGAAACCACTGTGCTTGCCAAAGTATTGAACTACGCAATCGCCCCGAGGAAGGTCCTGAAAGAGGAAATCATCTGCCAAGTGGAAGCGGCTGTTCGAGGGATGCCCGCACTAAAAGCCGAAGAGATCCGACAAAATGTTCCGAGAGTACTGAAGTCAGCAAAACCACCGAATTCCAACTTGACGGTTGGTGAAAAGAAGGCACTCCGGTCTATTAAAGAAAAGTCAGAAATCGTCGTGTTACCAGTAGACAAGGGGAATGCCACCGTTGTTATGGACCAGAAAGAATATTACGACAAAATGATGAACCTACTGGACCCAGGCACCTACAGAAAGATCAAGAAGGACCCCACAGACAGAATCGTAAGAAAAATGAAGGACCTGATAAAATCCACAGGAATTCCAGCAGAACAGCAGAAAGGATTGTTTGTGCAGGCGCTGATATCACCAAAAATTTATGGACTACCGAAGATTCATAAATCAGACGTCCCCATCCGCCCTATCGTCAGTGCCATCAACTCTAGGGTTGCCATTTTTTAAAAGCAACTATAGAGGAGATTCTTAAAAAATATATAGGAAATTCAAAAACTATAGAGGAGATTAAATTTTTCAAATTTCTTTTTTAATAATAATTTATTATTTTTGACATAGTCATAAAACTGTTTACATGGCATATAGTAATTTAACGTTATTACTAATTCAGACTTTACTAAATCAACGCAAAACTTATTTCTGGTTTCGGTTCATTTGTTTCCCATTATACTAAAAATACGTTCCACATACGCAGTAGGTGCAGGTATACTTAAAATAAATGACAGAATTTGTGAAATATTCTGCAAGTTCTGTATTTTACTTAAAATAGTACCTAGTCCATTTACAGGACGTACTACTATTTTTAAAATGATCATAGAAAAGTATATTTAAAATGTCTTCTTCATCAAAGATTTGATCAATGTTTACAAGGAGGTTTGGGTTTTGTAGCTTTTCAAGTAAATTAACAATATCTTGAAATTTAACTGGATTATTTAGCTTTAAATGTGACATTAAATATAGTATATTATCAGTACTAAAGTCGAACCATTTTTTGATGTACTGTATCGAGGACCAATTTAAAGTTATTTTCAAATTTTTCTGCCTGATATCCGTCTAAATATTTTAATTTTTAAGTAACAAGACATCCAAAGTAATTTTGATCTAAATGTCAAGATAAGTCTTGTAACTATGCTTGAGCAGTTTTATGCCACAGTCGAAACTATTATATGACAAATTGTGTTTTATGTTATGATACAGTAATCCTAATTCAATGCAGCCACATTGTTTTCTTCTGGTGAATGATTTGGTGTGCAGAAAGTTGTTATTAAATTGTTATTTACTGCCACTCTTGATTGTGTGATATGCATTTTCGTCAATTCATGCTGTTTTACCTAAAAATATGAATATTTAATTATTATTGTATGTATTGTATTATAATACAATACATATTTGTATAGGTTAATTTACTTCTTATACGCTTAGTTACTTACGGAAGTTAATCCTTGACTTTTAATAGAGAAATCTTTAGTACATAAAATACACTGAGCATATTCATCATTAATTTTAGAAGGTTTTAGCCATTTGTATGTGTTAAGACCACTCTTTTCGAAAAGTAGATGTAAGGAGCTTTAATATTCTGGTTCTCGTCTATATTTGTATCATTTTCTTTTTCTTCGTCGCTCATCTTGATCTTATTATATTTTATATTAAATTTAATAGATGCACAAATGCATTTAAACCACAGTAAGTAGTTAACAACAGTAAAGAATTAACTTAACACGAGATAGTCAACGCCCTCTGATGGAGAGTTTCGGTAACCACCGATTAATGGCAGACGTCAGCTCACTATAAAGCTAGATGCTGAGGATATTTTGGTAAGTTTCGATGTTGAGTCTCTTTTTACCAGGGTACCAGTTAAGGATGCTGTAGATGGCCTCTGCCAGAAGCTCATTTCCGAGGGATTACCAGAATACTTACCAGATCTAGTGGAGTACTATTTATCGTCGACGTATTTCAGCTGGAAAGGAGAATTTTACGAACAGTTCGAAGGGGCAGCCATGGGTTCTCCATTATCGCCAGTTATAGCTAATTTCTACATGGAATTATTCAAAGAAGACGCTTTGAAGAAGAGCCAGTGGAAACCAAAGCTATGGCTCCGATATGTGGATGACACGTTTGTAATATGGCAATATGGTAAAAAACGGCTCCAAGACTTCTTGGATTACTTGAACGCTCAACATACGATGATTAAGTTTACCATGGAAACGGAAACTGCCAAAAAACTATCTTTGGACAAATGGAGATATGGAACTTGGTGTATATCAGAAGAAGACTCATACCAACAGATTAGAACCAGTTTCTGAAGAAGGTTGCAACATGGCATCCGAAATGTCAAAGCTCTTCTTAAAAGACGCACGGCAAAACCCGAAAGTTTCTAGTGTTAGTTCTAGTTTTAGTTCTAATTTTAGTTCAATTAACACCGGCCGTGAAAGCCTTCGTGCTTATAAGGATAGTACTATATGATGAAATGATAGAATACAGCGAAATAATATTGTGCGTACACATAACTTCTAAAGTCCTATAACTCCTCTTGTACATAACCTCAAATGAATTAAAATTATTTTCAATTTGGAGCTCGGATTCCGTTTCCACGCAGAAAATTACTTCCGAAATGACCACCAACAACAATCAACACCCCTTTTTTTTGCTATTTTTAACTATTTTTTTTTTATTTTTTTAGCATTACACGGGTAATAAACGCCCGATTTGGTTTGTTTACTCAGGAATGGGTAGCCAATGGGTTGGGATGGCTAATGATTTAATGAAGCTTCCAATATTCGCGGAATCCATAAAAAAATCGGCGAAAATTCTTGAACCGAAAGGAATCGATCTCATTAGCATAGTAACAGGGAGTGACCCAAAAATTTTTGATAGCATCGTGCACTCTTTCGTGGGAATTGCCGCGGTTCAAATCGCATTAACCGATATTTTAAAGGCTTTAGGTGTGGTTCCTGATGGAATAATCGGGCACTCAGTCGGTGAATTGGGATGTTCTTACGCCGATGATTGTTTAACACCGGAACAAATGATTTTATGCGCGTATTCTAGAGGTCGAGCTTCCGTGGAAGTCGAATTAGTTAAAGGAATGATGGCCGCGATTGGTTTAGGAAATGGGCAAGTTAAAGATCGCCTCCCTGAATCGATCGAAGTTGCTTGCCATAACTCGACCGATAATTGCACACTATCTGGACCAACTGAAGACATGGAAAAATACGTTAAAGAACTCCAAGATAAAGGAATCTTCGCGCGATTAGTTAACGTGGCTAATATTGCCTATCATAGTCGATATATTCGCCCAGCGGCTCCGAAATTACTTGAATATCTCAAAAAAATCATCCCAGAACCGAAAGCCAGATCGTCAAAGTGGATTTCAACGTCGGTTTTGGAAGAAAATTGGGATGGGGTTGACGCGAAATTGTGCTCGGCTCAATATCACACTAATAATTTATTAGGGTCGGTTTTATTTGAGGAAGGATCGAAACATATTCCGAAAGATGCGATTGCTATTGAGATTGCCCCGCATGGATTATTACAAGCGATTTTAAAGAGATCTTTAAGTAGTGAGTGCACTAATATTCCTTTGACACAAAGAGGGAATAAAAATGGATTACAATTTTTATTATCAGCAATTGGAAAGTAAGATTTTCTTAATGTATTTTACTAAAATAATTTAATCTTTTTTTTAAAGAATGTATCTCGCTGGAATTGACGTTAACATAGCAGCTATTTACCCCGAAATAAATTACCCGGTTAGTCGAGGAACATTAAGTTTAACTCCATTAGTTCATTGGGAACACAGCGAAACATGGAGAACCGGAATTGAAGACAAAATTAATTATTTATTCAACGTTAAAGACACGCAAATTACCTTAAATTCAGATGAATATAGATATTGTAATGGACACATCCTCGATGATAACTGCACCTTTCCTATTTCATCACTTTTAGTACGCAAATTATATTGTTTTAATTTTACTTAAATTAATTTTTTTAATTATAGAACATTTTAATGGAAATATTAATATCCGGATCTGACACAAAACCATCAACTGTAATCTTCGAAAATATCCTATTTAAAAACATGCTAACAATTCCAAAAGTCGATTCTATTCCTTTACACGCCCTAATTCAAACGGGAAGTGGATCTTTCGAGATATTATCGGGAAAAACAATGATAGCCACCGGGAAAATTTACGTGCCCCACGTCGCTGACAAATTCTGGGCTGAAGAAATCGAAGTTGTGGTTCCTGAAAAAGCGATGGAATTGACCACGAAAGATGTTTATTGCGAATTTAATCATCGCGGGCATAAATATAGCGGGGATTTCAAAGTTATTAAAAGCGTTAAGTTGGGGGAAACCGGACAAATTAGTAAAGTTGGGTGGAATAATAAGTGGACGTCGCTCTTTGAGGGGATGCTTCAACAATACATATTGAAAAGAGGGGAAAAGTATCAAAATATTATTACGCCAAGTTTTATTCAAAAAATTGCAATTTCGCTGGAAAAATTACCTACTAATAATGAAGGTAAGAGTTAACAAATGTTTATTATTTAAATTAAATAAAAATTTATTGCATTATTGATAAAAAATATGTTTGTGTCAAAATGACGTTAGGTTGGTTAAAGAAAAAATCACTAGATTCATATTGGTAATAAATTTTCTTTTGACGTTTAAAATAGGTTATATTTCGTTTATAATTTGAAGCTTAATTATCATTATTGTTATCAATGAAATATTTTAAATAATGTTACTTCTTGGTTTGCTAAAGAGAGAGAGAGAGCATAGAGAGATTAATGAATTAAACGAATATGTGCTGAAAACTTGGGAAGAATTTGGAAGGAAGTTAAATGAAAATTTTAGGGAAAATCAGAAACAATTCTCGTAGTCGCAACCCAACCCACCATGCGGAAAAATGTAAACAAGAGGATACAGAAGAAGTGTAGGAGAGTCGAGATGAGGTGCCCCGGATGACGACAGTATATCAAAAGAATTACTAAAAAGAGGGGGTCCGAAAGTATAAAAGAATATGATTGTGCCAATACATAAGAAGGAGGAAACAACCAACTGCGAAAACAACAGAGCAATCTGTTTGGCGCCGATTGCGCTCAAATTCTACTCAAAAATTCTAGAAAAACGGGTGAGAACCCATATAGAAGAAAAACTCGAACAGGAAGAAACTGCCTTCCGACCAAACAGACAAAAATAGGACCACATATACACCCTCAAGACAATAATAGAAAAAGTAACAGACAAGAATAACTATATACTTGGCCGTCCTAGACCTAAATGCAGCTTCGACCAGGTACCGAGACAACATATATGGGAAGTTTTAACCGAACTAGGGACAAGTCCAAAGCTAAAAAGAGCAATCAAAAGCATATACCACAACGTAATGGGAAGGGTTAGACTGAATGGAAATACGTCAGAAGAGTTTAGAACGGAAAAGGGAGTGAAACAGGTCAAACAGGGTGACACATGGACAGAATAATAAAGCAAGTCAAAAGGCAAACTACGCAGACGAGATTGGACGAGACCACAACACAATATAATAACCTAATATACGCGAACGATGTTGTACTAATGTCAGGCAGAGTAGATGTCCTACAAAGAAACATTCAATTATGGAATACCTGCCTACAAGGAAGGGGAATGGTAATAAACAAGAACAAGATTAAGATCCTACACATTACAAAAGAAGAAGAAACGGGAGATATTGATGTATGAATAGAGGGGCAACGACTGGAAGTAGAAAAGTGCGAATGTCTTGGAACCATAATAAGTAAGGATGGAAAGATAGATCAGGAAATACGCAACAAAACGCAAAAAAAGCAAAAAAGCAAGTGCAATTTACTATAAAATAAACGACACTCTTGTAGACAAGAAAGAACTAAACTCTAAAGCAAGAATACAATTATATAAAACCATCTATATACCCACACTTAATTATAGATCAGAAACTTGGACGATGCATGTTGCACAAATCGAAAATAACAGCAACAGAGATGAAGTATCTACGCAAGATATTGAGGAATACCAGAAGAAGTAGGGCACGGAAGAAAACAAACACGTATAGGTCAAGAAGAAGATAGTTGAAGAGATAGCAGATGGCGGCTCAAGGCATTTTTAAAACTTATTATCTTATTAATCGTTCCACAACGCAATCAACTGCACTATAAAAGATCTGTGGTAGATTTCAGTACTATGAACTGGAAACATGAGTGTAGAGTCGAGTGGGCAAGTCATGTGATGCTAAAAAAGTGAAAGGGATCGGACAAATAAGCAGGAGTGCGGGTACAACATAGTAAGCATACGAAATGATCTACGACTCTGGCAACTTATCATCTGCAGGTTACGATATGGAGTAATCTGCTGAAACTTTGCTAAATCAAAAATGTACCGTATACAATTGTACGCAGCATCGGCATAATCAATGTGTGGGAAAATGAGAGAATAACAATGATTACGACCTACAACAGGAGGAAGATAGCAGCGAAGTTTTTTCAAAGTATGGAAACAGAAGTAAACCCTCTTACAGACTCCCTGAACTTGTGGCCGCCAAGACATCGCCGAATCCATTACCACACCAAGATTTTTGACCGTATTAGAAAACGGAATAACGGTGTTGCCAAGCCTTAGTTGAAGAGCAGATAAGGAATTAAATTGTGCCAGCAAGGAGCGAGTGCCAAATGTAATGGCTTGCGTTTTACCTGGATTCAGGTTAAGTCCATGATGTCTAGGCCAGTCAAGTACACTAGAGAGATCGTTGTTAAGATGCAACAAAGCATCTGGGAGGTTGTTAACAGTTGTCGAAATATAAAGTTGAAGGTCATCTGCATACAAATGATAGTTACACGAGATACCATCACTAATATTAATTATGATAATTGAGAAGAGCAAAGGAGCCAGCACGCTGCCCTCGAGAACTCCACATTTAATGTCAACAGGAGAAGAGAGTACAGATTCCACGCGGACACGTAAAGACCGATAGAAAAGGTAGGACTGGAACCAAGATATACAAGAAGAGGTAAAACCAATAGCAGAAAGCCTAATTAACAGGAGGGCATGGTCCACAGAATCAAAGGCCTTACTAAAATCAAGTAACACTAACAAGGTAACACAACGGTTATCACACGCAGATCTAATATCATCGGTGATCTTAATCAGTGCTGTAGTAGTACCATGCTCTTCACGAAAACCAGACTGGAACTTGTTAATCAGATTAAACTCCTCAAGATATTTCTGAATCTGCAAATAAGCTAAACGTTCAATAGCTTTTAACAATGTAGATAGAATAGAAATGGGTCGAAAGTCACCAACATGGGACGGAGATTTTATTTTTGGGATAGAAATAAGATAGGCGATTCGCCAGATTGACGGAAATATAGACTGTTCAAAAGAACAGTTGAAAATATGTATTAGGGGAGTAATAACTATATCCAGAATGGGTAAGAGGAATCTGAGTCCAATACCATCTGCTCCGACAGTAGTGGACTTGAAGTAAGTTAAAGCATCCCGGAAGCTGAATGAAAAGAAAAGCACGTTGGTAGATGCAACGATTTCATTAATAGTATTCTGCCTAGTTATGTTACCAACCACCACAGGAGGATCCGCAAATATGTATATTATATGCCTATGCAATATCAAACCAGAACCGGGACCCTGTAGCTGTAGGGCCTTGAGGCGCATGCCTCAAGCGCCTACTGGTTAATCCAGCCCTGACTGTGGGACTGACGTGGGTGAGGTACTTCTTTGAAAAAACATATTTTCCTGGTCTGTGATCAGTCTTACACTCGAGTAGGGGTGTGTCTAACACTGCTCCTCTCCAGAGTGTTGAACTGCTGCCAGCATCCCCATCCTTCATAGTTCCTACTGATTGTAGTCTTTTCATGGTTTCTAATGCCACATCCTCAATATGTAGGTTGAGTGGTGGTAAATTTAACATGATCTCCATGACCGCGGTGGGGGTTGATCGCAGCACACCTGTAACATACAGACACGCGAGTCTCTGTCCTACTGGGCATTTTAAACAAAAACTTAATAAATGTTTCGTCATTCTTGTGGCATTTTTTATATATTCAGAAAGGCAAAACTTACAAGTGTACATTATTTTTCCATTTACTTTCTTCATATTAAAATTGTTCCACACATTACTCTTCGGTTTTGTCACAATTTTGTTTTTACCTTCCATTATTCCCACATCTACCATGCTATATTTCATAGAATAATAAATGCACAAACCTAAACACGGCCATTCACGTCTGTGGGATTCCCGAACCGTTTGAACTTTGTCAGAGGGAGTCACCATGCACTATGAGAAAACTATCTCTGGATTCTGGATTCGCGGGAAGGCAGGCTGAACCGCCCGCAGCACTTTGACCTCAGCAGATCCCTTGTACTTACTTTTCTCATTTGGTCAGCATTAGGGTCCTTCCAGCCATATTATCTTGGAGGCAAAAGCTAGAATTTGTCCTGGTTGTGCTGCCCTGATTCCACTCATGCTAATCTGGATAGCTCCAAAAATGGATAACCTTAATGTTTGTAGGGCCACGCAGTCGCATAAAATGTGTTCCGCTGATTCCTCCTCCTCACCGCATCCTCTGCACATGTCGGTGTCACTTATTCCCATGTTCAGTAAGTGCTTCTGTAGGTGCCAGTGTCCAGTGATTAGCCCTATGACCAAACGTAGGTTCTTCCTGGACAGCCTCATAAATAAATCTGTTCGTTTAGGATCAGGGTACATCAGAGCCTCCTTTGCTTGGCGACATCCTGGTGTCCTGTCCTAGTAGTTTAGAAACTTCTTACTTGTTTCCTCTTTTTGAAGCTCTATTAAAGAACTTATTGTTGGGGCAATGAATAGTTCCGGCGATCCCGGAGGTTCGCCTGCAGCTTTCCTTGACAGTTTGTCCACCATGTCATGAAGCTTATTTCCCGAATGACCCTTTATCCAGGAGATCGTAATCTCATTGCTAGCGGCTGCCTCACAAAGATTGTTATGGCAGTCCTCAAGCAACGAGGATGAACAGCGATACCGCCCGAGAGAAAACTATCTCTGAAATTTTTCTGGTTTAGCATATTCTTACAAGAATATTCTCCTCTATCATCTATATATATAACGCTATATCAGAATATCGTTTTTAATAATAACGCACGTTTTTAATAATCTACAACTTCACAAACATTTAGTACCAACAGTTTAAAACAAAAAAAATTGTTTTGACGATTTTGTTAATACTTTTTATTTTATTTCTAGATATTGATGTAACTTATAATTACCACACCGAAATAATATCGACCGAAAGCATACAAATAATTGGATTACAACATAATACTCAAGCGCAAATTGCAAAGCCGATCAGTTTACTAAGTAACAATTTCGTTGGATTAGAAAAAATATCTACTCAAGTATTAATTGGTACGTTTTAATTCAATTTCGTATTAATTTTCTTTTTATTTTAGAGCATAGATGTTGCTATTAATTACAGTGTACACACTGCAATTAACAACTTTGATATTAATACCAAAAACATTGCGATAATCGATATTGAAACGATAAATTCCGAGTCATTTTCGGAAAATATTAAAAATGTTTTAGATAAAAACGTTGAAATTAGCGGAAATGTAACGAAAACTAAAGAAGATAAAATCGCAATTTTATTTTTATCAACAACAAATCCGATATTAATCGTTTCAAGTGAAACCCCATCTGAAAACGTTTTAAAAACAATCGTTTCAAGTCATGCTTTCGCTTTAGTCAAAACTGATAAAACGATTTACTCCAATGAAAATATTCAAATTATTTTCGAATTTGTAATTAATCAAATTAATTATTGTTTGATTCGAAAACGTTGTAAAGTTACTCCAAACGTTGTTGTTATAAAATCCGATTTAGTTTCTTCGAAAGATTTAAGTAAAGATGCTTTAAACTGGGTGATGGAATTAAAAGAAAAATCGATTTCAAAAATAACTTACTTAATTGTGCCGGTTTTACCAACCGAGGGAGCTAGTAATTTTATAAGTGAGTTGAAACTTAAGAAAGAATTTAATAACGTTCGATGCGTTTTCTTGGAAAAAAACGTTAATTTTGATTTAAACTCAAACCAAGGAAGAGAAATTATCCGAAAAGATTTAAGCGCGGTTTTCTTTAAAAACGGAAAAATTGGAACCTATTTACCTTTACCGTTGGATTTTATGGATGATGTTAAGAATTTAGAACCATCATCAACGTACGTTTTAAAAAAATGTTTGTTTTTAATTAAAAATTTAACTTTCAATTAATTTTAGGGCCTCTATAGCAGCAAAAAATGTTCATTTTCTTGGAATTAACGCAAACGATGAGACATTAACGAATGAAAAACATGAAATTGGGTTGGGAAATATCGATTATTCGGGTGTTGATGCGAAAGATCGAATTATGGGGGTTGCTAAAATGGATGTTGATACTTGTAATTTAATTCCCGATGATATCCTTCATTGGAAAATACCCGAAAAATGGAGTATGGAGGATGGATGTTCTATTCCTCATGCTTACATCACTGTAAATAACAAAAATAGAATCAAAAATTACAATATAGTATAACCTCGATATAACGGACAAAATATGTTTATCCAACTCCGGTTATTCCCCAAGTTGCTGTTTTCCATGTTCATAGATGGACTAGAGGTTCAGCGCTAGATTGTTGTATATTTTTATTGAACTATAAGTATGTAGAACTAACAATAGACCTAGAACTAGAAATATTCGGATTTAGCCGTTTTAAGACATGCACGGTTAAACCTGAATGTTTCTAGTTCTAGGTCAAGTGGTAATTCTAGTTTTAGTTCGAAATAAATATACAAAAACCTAGCGGTGGGTACCAAATAAAACTAGAACTAACACTAGACCTAGAACTAGAAACATTCGGGTTTAGCCGTGCGTCTGAAGACGCACGGCTAAACCCGAAATTTTCGTGTTCTAGGTCTAGTGTTAGTTCTAGTTTTACTTTATTGAAAAATATACAATTATAGATGGTCTAGTTTTAATTCAATGACAATATGTAACAACCTAGCTAGTGCTACTTAATGTTACCTAACACTGTCACTAGGTCTAGTGTTAGTTCTAGTGACAGTGCTAGATAGCGATAGTTAGCACTAGACATCACTACGTTACATATTTTTATTGAACTAAAACTAGAATCAACATTTGACCTAGAACTAGAAAATCGGGTTTAGCTGTGTGTCCGAAGACGTTCAATAAGTTGATGACACCTTTGTGATCTGGCAACATGGAAAAGAGCGTCTTCAGAAGTTCCTAGACCACCTGAACTCGCAACACCCCATGATCAAACTCAACGCTATCCCAAATTCAAAAAAAGTCAATCCAAGATAACTCAACCCTAATCTAAAAATGTGGGATTCAAAACGCGAATATAATGTATGGTGACAGCATGTCCTAGCCTCTCTTACTCAATTCCGACACTTATCTGCAAGCTGAAGAACCTTGAAAGCCTGAGTAACCATGAAAGACTGCAATAGAAATCCTACTGAGACACAAAGCCAACACTGACAAGAGCAGAAGAAATGCCACAACCTCTATTACCACTTAGCAGCTGTACACTGGAATCATTTACTAAATACTGGATTCATTCATTAAATACTAGAATCAACCACTAAGTACTGGTAATAATTACTAAGCATACTTGAACAAAAATTAGAAGGTGGTAAAATTAGTGGTGAACACGAAGACCTGCTCCCGCCTCACACCGGACGTTAGTTTTATTAATTAGTTTTCCAACTTATATATTGTTACCGACTTTCGACTTCGGCACTTCGAACCAGTTTCTGAAGAACAAAACCCGAAAGTTTCTAGTTTTAGTTCAATTCACACCGGCCGTGAAAGCCTTCGTACTTATACTACATCTGACTTTTGTATACTACCAATCATTGTGGACATTGTACTTAACAGATGGATACTGCAATAATTTATTAAAAGCAGGAAATTTCTCCTGAATACTGGAATCATTTACTAGACACTGGAATCAACCATTGAATACTGAAAACAATGACTAATGATATAATATCTAACTTCTGGATATTGGAAACAATCACTATCAATATTGCACTTAGCAGCTGGATATTGGAATCATTTATTAAATACTGGCATTAACCATTGAGTACTGGAAATAAGTTCCAAGGATACTACTGAATACTGGAATCAATCACTATATGGACTTCGCCACTGGATATTGGAATCATGTATCAGATACTGTATTCAACCACTGAGCATTGGAAATAATTACTAAGTACTGCATCTAACTTTTGGATACTGGAACCAATCACTATTACACATCGCAGATGGATACTGGAATGAGTTCTAGGTTGAACAAAAACTAGAAGTAACACTAGACTTAGAACTAGAAACATTCTAGTGTTAGTTCTAGGTTTAATTGTTATTCAGCGTTAGGTTGTCGTATATTTTTCTTGAACTAAAACTACAACTATCACTAGATCTACAACTAGAAACTTTCGGGTTTAGCCGTCTTGAGAGACGCTATCCAAACAAGCTGAGATTTTTGAGCAATAGGTGCATTAACGTCACCTTTTCTGATTTCATTTTCAATGATTTGAGCGTATATGTCTGCTCCAACAAGTGCTAAATGTTTGATCGGGGTTTGAGTGCGATAAAAAATTGAGATTAATTACTCCTCTTGAGTGTCCAGCTTTTTGAGCACCATTAGCAATGATTGAAATATTAGCATTACTTCTAGAAATGTTTAAAAACTCAACAATAGCTTCAGTAACAAAAGAAACCTCCGAACCTTAATCAATTAAAGCACGTGCCATGAAGCATTCTGATGAGTTCGGCGAAATCGTTTCTTGTCTTGATTGACAACTTTTGATGAAATGTGGTTTGGTTATTGTGGAACGTTGTATGATGTTGTTTTTGATAGAGCTTGCATCGTTTTTGAGTTTTACAATGTTTCAATAGATGGGGTCCAACAATTAAAACAAAGACTTTTAGACATGACGAACTCTTTACATTGAGCTACAGATTTATGAAGATATTGCTGACAAGATGTAATATAATGGTCACCTTTGCAGCATGAACAATTAAGTAATGATTGCGAAACATGAGTCTTAACTTGGTTTAAAATTCTAGAGGGCACCACATCAGGGCCGATTTACATCAGACGAGCGAACGCTCATTCTATCCCGACTCTATCATATTCTTTTAGTGTAAACAGATGTAGAGCATTCTTTCGTTGTTCTGTCTGTGTTCTCAAAGATTCTAGAGAATATTCTAGGAATGTTCGATCGCTTGATGTAAACGGCAATAGAGCATGCGAACAATTGCTTAGAGCCTTCTTGCGTGTTCGGATGTGTTCGCTCATCGGAGCGATCTCTTCAAAGCGTTCTTGTGTTCTAGCCGAATGAGTATTCGTTCGGCTGATCTAAACATCTATGTGCAAGAATTCTGATTCTTGATTCTCATTTTTGCTCGTTGATATTTTGGTGTAAGCGCTAAAAACGCGATTTCGTTTACACTAAAAGATCAAGAAAGAATGCTCTTGTTCTAGCTCTAGCTCTTTGTTCGTTTGGTTTAAATGCACCTTCAGATGAAGGTTTGCGGTGACCAGATATTTGCTCGATAGCTTCTAAAGCATGAATTCGTTCAGTGATAAATGTTTCAAGTTGAGAAAATGTTGCAGATGTTGTTTTATCACCAATTGACTTTTCCCAATCTTTCAAAGACTCTATATCGAATTTATGAACGACAATAAAAGAGAATCAATTAATCAATAAAAAGGAGAAGAAAACCATTTTTTCACAGGGCAACCCAACGTCTCTAAAGCACCCATGGATTCTTTGACCTGATCGATCAGTCTTTTCATTTCGTTAAAAGTTTCTTGCTTAAGTTTGAGCGAGCGTGAAAAAGTGAAGATAGATGAGAATCGATTAAAATTCTTTGATTTGACACGATATTTTTTAATAATTGAGCAGATTCATCAGATAAACTCCACCATCGAAGAAAACATGTCACGAAAATTACTGCAATGAGTATAATTACCTGAAAACTTTGGTAACTCGATCTTAGCTAAATTATAATTACGATTGCTTGATAAAGATTGAGAAATTGATATACCTTCAGGATTACTCTTTTTAATAATTTCAGTTCCATTTCACAATTGAAATAAAGATTAGATTTAAAATATTGATTATCTTCGTAATCAGTTTTAACTTTCAACAACGACTGATGCTGCGATTGAAATTTGTTCCAATTAAAATCCAACGTATTTAACCTACTACGAATTTTTCCTTTTGTTATCTTTGCAGCACCCAATTTATTCAAATTAGCAAACGCTCGTGTAATCAATCCAAAAAGTTCGCTCTGATGTTCAATAAGAGCATTTATGGATGTCATGATTGAAACAGAAATTAAACAATAAATCAAAACGGTTACGATCCAAAATTAGAATACTCGAACCAAGCGGGCTATCCGGCTCGAAGGACATAAATTGGGTCCTTCTGGCTTTTTCTGCCACTTTTTTCCGTTTTTAAATCGTTATTTTCTTTATTTAAGAATTGACCTTCTAGATGTTCCGCAACTGTCTCCGCTCTATCCTCATCAGTAAACCTCTTTTCCAAGACTATTTGTTAATTTCCACAATTAATAATGGGAGATAAGGATAATGGGATCACCGTGTACTTCTTCGATAGTGTTATTCCATTCTGTTTCTTTTTTCTTTTCCAACATCTTTTTGACCTCTTTTTTTAATTTATTTAGTTCTCTTTTTTTCCTAATATCTTTATATTTCGTCCAATCGCTCTTTACCTCGTTTTTCTTTCTGACCAGCTCCTTCTCTGTTGTATATGTTGGGGGCAGATGACGAATTCGGCCCGTGGCCGATTTTACGACAGTTGCATCTTACAAACACCTGGGAAGAATTTGATTCTTTTGCAGCTACCGTTCGCAAACTGAGTTTATTTTTGATGGGTACATCTGAAGATGTCAATGAGTTCGTTTGAGAAGGCTGAAAAGAAAAACGTTATTACCGTTTAAATATATAAAATATTAGTTAAGTACATACCTGGAACTCATTCCTTGCATATAGTTTTTCTAAGACGCCAGTTGATGTACCAAGTTGGTATAAATCATCTTTCTCGGACAATACAACAGCCAAAATGTTACGAGGAGCTAAGCGTCCTCTGTCGACATCAGGAATCTTAACTAAAACGTTCTGCCCAATTTCAATTTTTGGGAATTTGGAACAACTTTGCTGTAACATTTCTGTTGCTTGCTTTTTTAAACATGCAATACTATGAGATCGATGTTGATTTATTGATTTTAATCGGATTTTGTTGTTCCTAAAATGAAACATATAATAATAATATGATAATAATAATTCTTCCTCAACATCATCATTTTTGGAATAATTTATGGGAAAACTTTCTTGTACATCTTTTTCATTTCCTCCATCACTGTTTTGAAATTCTGAATCTGATTTTTCAGATACTACCTGTTCTATGTTTCTACCAACACTGCTTTCTAATCTATAA